ACGGTAGCTTGCTGTTATAGGGTCTATTTATCAAGAAGAGTACCAAATTTGTTCAAGCCTCATGTCTTGCATTGTTTTAGTCCCCCATATTATAGTATAAGTTTCTTCAAGCACAAGGAAATTCTGATTTTCATTTTGATTGGTTACTCTGTAGGCTGTGACCTATACAATGGGAAGTGGTTCTACGATCCACAGGGAGCATCATATACCAACAACTCATGCCCTGTCATAACACAGATGCAGAATTGCCAAGGTAATGGGAGGCCTGACAAGGAATATGAGAATTGGCGTTGGAAACCCTCTAAATGTGACCTCCCCAGAGTTGATGCCAAGAAGTTTCTGGAGTTGATGAGAGGAAAAACACTTGCTTTCATCGGTGATTCTGTTGCCCGAAATCAGATGGAATCAATGCTGTGTCTTCTCTGGAAGGCAAGTATCTACATTCTTAAAGTCCCAGTTATTTCTCAAGACAAAATTGTCCCACTTTAAAATCTGTGATTGTTGAAACTTTTCACCGTAATTTTTCTATTTCAGAGCCTGCAGTTTGTAGCTCTTGTGATTTTGAATATCATTACCATCAGCAAATATTTTAGTAATTGCACTCGGTACCTTAAAGTGTGCGAAACTAGGTTTTATTTGTATTCATCTTTCTCTTAGGATAGATTGATCTTTTTTATTTCCATTTTTGGAATGTTTTCTCATGGAAAACATTATGCTGTAATTTTAGGTTGAAGTTCCGAAAAACCGAGGAAACCGAAGGATGCAACGATGGTATTTCAGGTCGACATCTGTTATGATTGTCCGGATATGGTCCTCTTGGCTTGTCCAAGAAACTACTGAAAAAAATCGACTTTGCTCCAGAGGGTGTTACCAAGCTACATCTTGATGCTCCTGATAATAAATTCATGGAATTCATTCCAAATATTGATGTAATTGTCATTTCTTCTGGCCACTGGTTTTCCAAACAATCTGTCTATGTCTTGAACAATGAGATTGTGGGAGGACAATTATGGTGGCCAGATCAATCGCGTCCTATGAAGGTCAACAATGTCGAAGCATTTGGAATATCTGTTGAGACGATTCTATCTGCAATTCTTACACAACCTAATTACACCGGCCTGACTATCATGCGTACCTTTTGTCCAGATCATTACGAGGGTGGGGCTTGGAATTCAGGTGGATCGTGTACCGGAAAGGAAAACCCTCTTGCACCTGGCGAAATGGTGGAGAATGGTTTTACAAATATAATGCACGAAAAACAGGTGTCGGGTTTCAAACATGCCGTTAAGAAGGCAACAAATAAGTCCAAGTTGAGGTTCATGGACATTACCCAAATCTTCGGGTATCGTCACAATGGGCATCCTGGCCCGTATAGGAGCCCAGATCCAAATAAGATGACTAAACGCGGTCCAGACGGAAGGCCTCCTCCACAAGATTGCTTGCACTGGTGCATGCCTGGTCCTGTTGATACCTGGAATGACTCGTGCTCGAAATTATAAGAAGAGAATTCGAAGGCGATCAGAACTCGTCATCGTAAATTGGGATAGTATGTGTTTGAATCCGAAAAGTCCCATAAGATTGTGCCTCTGTAACAGAAAATAGTAATGTATTCAGTTCAGTGAGATGTATGAAATGAGTGGAAGGACAACTAGTCCTTCTGTTTATACCTTTGCATGTATTCTTTTTGCCCTTAGAGAAGAGAGTTTGGGATAGAAATTAACTGTTATAACATATTGTAATATTGACAGTTATTTTGGATCTATGTATCAGTGACGAATAAATTATCATTTTCGTTTTTGTTATCTAATTCATCTAATTGTAGTTGGTAAAGGGCATGGATAGCTCTTTAAAATTCATAATAATTTTTTTATTATTATTTAAACTAATACACTGGATTAATAAATAAAATATAGAAAAAATTGATAATCATTTTACATTTGGATATTTTCAAAATATAAAAGTACATAAAAATATATTTGAATAATATTATTTTAACTAAATTGTTAAATAATGTTTTTTAAATTAATGCCAAAAAAATTCACTTTTATTAAATTTCCAAGACGGACGTGAACCATTTTCTTAACCAATTTGAATTTTGTAATTAAATTAATACTAATTATTAATTAATTCACAATATTAAATTATTTCTCTATTTTTTTCAAAATTTCTACTTTATTTATTAATTTATCTTCTCCTTTCCTGCAAAACCCTAAATTCTTGTTCGCTGAACAAATTCTTACCTCATGCCAAAAAGTTTACATTTTTCTTCTCTGCAATTGTTGATGTTTTTTGTTGAATTTTTTGAGCATTTTGAAGCTTGTTTATTATCAGAAATGTTGAAGATTTAGCCCGAAACATTGTGCTTGTAGGAAAAAGTAAGCTCAATTTATGCTCATAAATTGGGTTCTTTTGATCTTTGAGTTTCTAATCTAAGTTTTTATCTTCTTCTTCTTATTATTTTTAACAGTTGTTTTTTCTATTTTTTGTTCCTTGCACTGTTATTGAGCTCAAGTTTTGTTCTCTTTTTGATGCCCCCTTCAAAATTAGCTCTATTGAACCATCTGATCACTCAAATTTTAAAAATAGCTTCAATCTTCAATTGCAGGTTGTAGGGGTTTTAGGGATTCAACCAGTTGGGTTTTTCTGTTCTCTATCTCTCTCTCTCTCTAACTGTAACATTTATGGGTGACAAATAGGGACTTATGCCTGGGGTCACGATGGAAGGAGATGAAGGTCCCAGGGGCTACAACGTGGCACCCCTAAGGGAAAACCCCACCCCATATGTGGGGCCTACGGTCTCACCTCCTCCGGCGTCGGAGATGAAGAAAAAAAGGGGCAGACCAAGAAAGCATGCACCCGGTGGATCTTTGGCGATCACTTTGTCACCGATGCCAATATCGTCTTCGGTTCCTTTGGCGGGAGAGTTTCCAGCGTGGAAACAAGGGAGAGGACGACCGGTTGACTCGGTAAAAAAGTCACATAAGTTTGAGCTTGAAAGCAGCGCAGGTACCTCGAGTCTTGATTGCAATGAATTGAATGGAAAATTTTATGAGCTTTGAATTTATTATGTTATCAATTTATAGGTAGTGAGAAAAGCTAGAAGAAAGTCCATGAGGTTTGAAGAGAGGTAGAATTCATTGATTTGGTTGAAACAGGAGTGGGACCGGTTTAACTGATTCTAGTCCATAAATGGAATCAATCAGACGAGTTTAGGAGGATATGTCTCTTGTCCGGAGTACTATATATACTCTGCCTTTTCCTCAGTAAAACATGGCAGCAAAATGCCAGAATGATGATCAAGGTGCCAATGTCACCTTGCTGTAGAATATTTTAGATTTCTAATAGGAATTTCCAATGTCGGGAAAGATATTGTATTTTTGGGGTGTCTAGTGTCGTTTTAATTTCGGGATTTTGTCTCAAGAGTGTCTCGATTTGAGGAGAGCATGGTTTATAGATCGTGTCCAACTTACAATAGCTTTGCTCAAGTATTAGGGCACTGCATGTGGTTCAACTCGCTTGGTTTGCTGATTCATTTATGTTACTGAGTTGAATTCTTTCTACAGGTGACAAAATCGCATATTTCGCTGGGGCGAATTTCACACCTCAAATAATCACTGTTAATGCTGGTGAGGTATGCCCTAGTAATAATATCGAGTTATTTATTTTCTATATTTGATTTCGAAATTTTAAACAGAACTAACTTCAATATATGTGATATATATTCTCTTTGTCGATGATATTGTTCGGGGTGATTGATAATAATACTTCTGTTATTACTGCTATAGGATGTTACGAAGAAGGTAATGTCTTTCTCTCAGCAAGGAGCTCACGCTATCTGCATCCTTTCTGCAAACGGAACTATTTCGAACGTTAGCCTCCATCAACCTTCTTCATCCGGTGGCACTCTGACATACGAGGTGTGTCCATTCTCCTCTAGCTCTTCCATTTTGCCTCGTTCTTGTTGAGTAATGATCTAGCTTTCTTATTTTCTTGTCCAGGGACGTTTTGAGATTCTTTCCTTGTCTGGTTCATTTATACCTACTAGCAACGGTGTAACGAAGAGTAGATCTGGTGGGATGAGTATTTCTTTGGCAGGTCCAGATGGTCGTGTTCTGGGAGGGGGACTTGCTGGTCTGTTGGTGGCTGCCGGTCCCGTGCAGGTGATTAAATAGTTAAAAACTTCTAATTAGATGATTACACAGTTAAAAACTTCTAATTAGACAAATTATGCTCGAGATTTTGCTTGACAAGTTGGACAATACTAGGACATGTTCAAGGTTTACTATATCCGTCTAATACCTTCTTTATTGATTGTATTTTGAGTGAACAGGTTGTTGTCGGCAGTTTTCTACCAGGTCACCAGTAGGAACAGAACCACAAGAAATAGATAACCGAACCTGCGACATCGATTATGAGCCTTACCACTTTACTGACAACATCTGCAAAGATTTAAGGTGTCCTATGGTGGAGTCATGCCAATTTTCACTTCCCCATTCAATGGATGCAGTTCAGGTACTTCAAACCCTATCCAGGGCTATACAAGTTCGGCCATTGGCAGTAAGTCAACTTCAACTGGAGATGAATCAGAAGGACATAGTCTATCACAGTGAGGTTTCCAGTTTAAGTGACATGTGTGCTCGAAGATGATTGATCAATCATTGTTTGATTTTATTCGGACACAAATAGTTTACGCCGTTCATAACCTATATAATCTCTCTATCTTCTTACCAAGGGCAAACCGGAAAGTAAGTTTAGATGATGAAGGTTTCAACCTCTAGTAGTATTGTCTTGGTAAGGTTTAGGTAGGATTTCTAAACATTACCGGACCCACATCCGGGTCGTAACCGGTTTTCTTTGTGGTGTATGGTTTATTCTAAGTATGCTTTATGAATCAACTAAAATTTCAAAATCATTGTCGACTAGCCGGAGCAATGCCAACGACCTGCGTTAATTAAGTAGTTGATCTCGTATCTTAGTTTACATCATATCAAATCCCAGTATCAAGATAGCAAGTTTTCTGCAACGCCACCATTGTTGAATGCTCGAAGATCGTTCGTTGTTTCCAAAGTGTTCTGTTTCTTCAAACCTTTCCTTCCTCCGAGCCCGAACTTAGAATTCCGGAACTCCATGTTTTTCTTATTCTTAGTATTACCCTTGCCACTACCTTGTTTTGCCTTCCCTCCCGAACGATCGCCTGGAGACACCCCAGGCCGTTTCTTGCTCGACCTCTCAAATGCTTTACCTTCTCTGAAACCCAAATCCGGCATACTATCTTTGCCATCTTTGAAGCCGCTCTGCTGCCTTTGCTTCCTCCACTTTTTAACTTCCTCAATCTCTTGTTTCTTCTGCTTAGCTCTTTCTTTCAACTTCTCAGCTTGAACCTCTTTGGCGATCCTCTTGGCCTCTCTCGCTTTCCTCCTCTCTTCAGCTTCTTCAATATGCTTCTTCTCGAATGCCAGCCTCGTCCCCTCCAATGCCTGCGTGTAGAAAGCGAGCTCTCTCGCTAAGTCATCATTCACATCCACTTCCTTCCCTTGATCGATATCGAGGGAAAGCTTGTATATCCAGTTGACATTATCCGGCCAGACGATGTCTTCAAGTTTCTCGACAAGGCCTTCTCGATTGTATATAGTGGTCTTTGACGGCTCCGCCAATTTCACATCTTCCTGCTCGGATTCGGACTCTTCTACATCACTAAGATCATCCAATACATCCTCAACACCATCTGCCACATTATTCTCATCTTGTAAGAGGCTTAAATCTTTGCTTTGCAACCCCATAGCGTAAAAATCTGCCATAAAAATAAGGGGAAATCATATGAGTGACAGGCAAAGAAAATACTCAGAATTTAGAGCCAAAAATCAACATGAATTTACTAGAAAACAAAGAATAAAAGCAAACTAATTGGAGAAGAAAATACCTTTTGCCTGCTCTCAAAACCTTAGTAAAACCCTAGCAGCTTTGGATTTTTAAATCGTTTCCTTTAACTTTCAGCTGAATAGGCTTTGGTCTAATGGACTGTTGCCTTGATCCAACTCTAATTGATTAAATTTGAAAGCCCAACACAATTGGTTGATTTTCGTAAATCTAACCGTCAGTTCGAGTGTTAAATGTAAATTATACAAAGTATTATAATATTTAAACAAAGAAATAATATATAATAACGTAAAATCTAAACTGAAAAAATCGCAGGAATGAAAAAACAATTCCACTATAATCAACGATAAATTACAACATATTTGTACGAGTACTAGTGCACAACAAACTCTATAATCTATATATAATTATACGAATATGTTATCATCAGGCCGTGGTTGGGGCGCAAACTGCGCGACCGCAAAAAATGGGCCCAAAAAAAATATAGTGGTTTTATAATAAACGCCACTATAGATAGACTTATTGCTACGTTTTTAAAAAAAACGTCACTATTATTGATGTTTTATTAATAAAACGTCATTATAATGGATTTATTGCGCGTTTGTCAAGAAAACGCCACTATTATTGCCTCGAAATCGAATATATCTAAAAAATAGGGATCCCTTTATACGAATTTGTACATGGCCCCGAAAACCCTGCCACGGCCCTGGTTATCATAATTTAATAAAATTGGGCTATACTGATAGTCTTTGCATTCACTGTATATCCTTATTTTCCCCTCAATTTAGTTTTTTTTTACCAAACAGATGTATGAAATTTTAAACTAAACCGAATACAGTTTGGATTATAAACTCCACCAAAATTGTTAAAATTATTATGAGAGATTTAGAAGCCGAAGTCCAGCAGTGTTGTTCACCTTTCCTGTATTAGTTGAAAAAGGAAGTTGTGTTGTGGAATTATGCCCACTTTTATTCGTATTTTTCAAACTTAAATAACGTAAAGGTTAAGGCAGTCCAAAAGTAGTATTTAATACAATAAATAATTAGATTCAGTGGTTGGGTTTTCACCATACAAAAACAAATTGCACATTTATACCTAAATATCAATGATTCTTCCACACCCTTAAAACAATGATGGAAAAGTACTTTAAGTTCACCTTCTTCACTTTACGCAACACGATGATGTTTGGGTGAATTGTATTTTCAACAAATTTTAAATTCTTATATAATTTTAATATTTTTATTTCTTATCAATAATGTAATTTTATATTCTAAAATTTTATACTTTTTAAGATTTCAATATAAAATTTTATATCTTCTAAATATAAAACCTCAGATTTTACAAAATTTTACAAAGGTTAGGGGAGAAACTTTTGCCTTCCAAAATTAGGAATCTTTATAATTATCGTGAGAAATCAAAGGATCAAAATAGTTCTAATGGGTCCTTTGGAATTTCATTTAAAAAATATCACTTTCGTCTAACCGCCCCTTATTTCAAAGAGAGGAGGACACGTCACATTTGATGATTAAAAAAGGCTAATTGAAAGCTAAACATTGGTAATTCTAAAGATTTCTCAGAGGAATACCAAATTATTGTTAGTTGACATAAATATTTTGATTTAAATATTATTTAGATCCCTCTCAATTTTGAATTCGAACAATTTAATCTCTTTTGTGTAAAATTTTACATAAATTTCTAAACATTTATGAAATCTAAATGCAAATGAATTCATTTTCCAACTACAAATTCTATTATTTTTACTTACAATTTACAATAATATTAAAATTACAAGTCAAAACATATAAATATATTTAAAATGTTTAATTTAACAAAATGTATATTGAATTTTCTTAGAATATTTATATTTGGAGTAAGAGAAAGGGTTTAATTGAAAAGGATGATATAAAAATCATAAAAAAAATATTTAAATTTTCATTAAAATTTTCAAAATTACGAAAATATTATAATTTTTTTATTTTGTTAAAAAGAATCCAATCACATTTAGGCATGTGTCATATACGATGGAAAATGTCATATCATCATAAACAATTCTTATTTACTAACTTTCAAATCATTGAATAAATTAGTCTTTTTTTAGAGGAATCAATTTGTTCAATTTTAAAATTTACATAAACTTAAAGAGTTTTTAAATTAAAATATTTATACGTACTAACTATACATTTAAAATTATTTTCTTTTAGGAAAAATCGTTTTAGAAAATAACCTTTTTTTTCTATCGAGACTATTGTTTTTGGGGATTTGGGGGTTTTCTTTCTCAGTTTTTGTTAGGTTGTTTGTGGATGGATTCGAGGTGACTTCGTGTTGTTTGGGTGAGGATCTATGGATTGGAAGAGTCTATTCACTGGAGTGGAGGAGCAAGCTCTAGATTTCTTTCTGCCAGAGTGCTGTGAGGGTTCTACAATGGTGACTCCGCCTACTGCGGTGTTTGATGAGGGCATTTCTAAATGGAAGTACTAGTTAGTATGGCAGTTTATTGGATCAACTCCCAATTTTGGATCCATGTAGAAGCTTGTGGAAACCATGTGGGGGAAAGCTTTGACGATTAAGGTTAGTCTTGTAGGACCTAACCTGTATGTTTTTTCTTTTGCTAATGGAACTAGTAGGAACTGGGTTCTGGAAAATGGCCCTTGGCACATTCAGCATAAGCCATTGGGGCTTAGGAAGTGGAAGCCTAATTTGGCGATACTGGATTTTGAATTGGCAAAGATGTCAGTATGGGTTCAGTTCTTTAACGTTCATTTGGAGTTATTATCGAAGAAGATGCTAAGCTACATAGCAAGTGCTTTAGGCGTCCCTTTGTATATGGACACTATCACTGCTTTTAAGGAGTGTTTGGAGTTTGCCAAAGTATGTTTTGAGGTCGAGGGTGGTGCTCGATTACCTAGATAAATTGTAGTCAGGATGAAAGATGGTAATATTGGTATGGTGAAAGTTGTTATTCTGTGGTTCCCTGCTTGTTGTGCTAAATGTAAAACGTTTGGTCATTTGGGGGAAAATTGTACTGAGGGAGTTACTAAGGAAAGGAATGAGTGGAGGTGAAAGATGACAGTGATGATGTTGTGGTGGCTGTGTCTAATCAGGCACAAGTATTTGCTCAAAATAAGGAGACGAATTATGGTGCTAAGGGTGAGGTTGTTGTTATAGCTAATGCAGTGAAACTATGTCAAGAAATGATTGTGGTTGTTAGTGAGAAGAATAAGGCTGAGAAAGTTGAGACTAGTATGGCTAGTGATTTTCCTCCTCTGAAGTATTTCACTCAGATGAAGAAAGGACGTAGAAATAAGGAAGACAAGGGAAGGGGTATGATGTCAACCATCAGTATGTGCTCAATGCTATATCCATAATCTCCCATCACCTGTTGCATAATTTCAGATTTGATACATGCAGGAAAAGCCCTAAACAGCAAGCACATAGACGGTGGAAAGTTTTTTTTTAAGGTTCAGATGGAAACATAATTGCTCCACTGCAATTAGACAGAAAGATATCATGTAGCATCCAAAATCTCATGTTTTACAAGACAAAATGCATGTTCCCCTTCCTCAGGCATTCATATTCTGGGAAATTGCAAGCCAAAAGAAAACAACCACTATATATTTTTCGAAATAATTCAAATTAAAGGAAACAGGTCAACCACTGACATTACTGCCTCTTTTCTCATCAGCTTATCTGTTTCTAAATCAAAATTTGATTTATGCATATGTCATGGTCATAATTTAAGCATTCTTGAATAATTAGCTAAATTAGGGTGAATGAGAGAAAAAGGATGCACCGTATTACCTTTCCAAGTTCCTCAAGAACAGCTTTAGCAACCTCACCCTTTTGTTCAAAGAGATCATCCAAATTCATTCTAGGAACTAGAGCTCGAACCACTACCCCAAGAAATGAAATGTCAGAAACAGAACGAAAGGGAGGAGAGGTGGGGAGGATAACTTGTTGATGAATATAATATATTTATAGGCTGATATGCAATAGGAAGAGCAAAGAAAGTTACCATCAAACACATAAGCCCGAATCCGTTCTTCAGGATTTTGCAGCTCATAAAATGCATCATCAGCATGTGCCTTAACCACTCTGTATTGAATAGAGCAGAGCAATTGCACAAAGACATTGTCCTAGAAAATTTAACATTTTCATCTTCATGCTCATTGGTTCTTCTGATAAAACGACAAACCTCGGGGATGGAGGGAGAACCCTGTTAGGAACCAAAGGAAGCTTTGGTCCCAAAACTTTTCAAATTCCCTTTAGTACGTGTGTGTGTTTGTGTGTAAATATAATAGATTTAAATATTTTTTTTCAAACTAAAATCATTGATTTCACTATTCATGTGTTTTATTTGTTTAACCTTATGCATATAAATTTAATACTAATCAATAATATTGTTATTTGCTTATGTATTGTACTAACTAATCATGATTCATAAACACTGAAAATAAAATGGGTTGTCATAAATGTTAAATTATGTAAATTCAACAAAAGATAAATTCACTCTTGAAAGGCAACGGATGATTTCGAGCTCAAATATGTTCCAATAAAAAGGTTTGTCATAAATGTTAAATTATGTAAATAGGTTTGTCATAAATAGAAGCTCTCTATTTATAGTTGAGGTCTTCAAGATCTAACGGTCTAGATCAGGGCCGGTCCAATGAGTTTTAATGCCCTGAGCGAGATAATAATTTTATGTCTCTATACTTGTATCCTAATTTTGTGCCTAATTTTTGGAGGAAAAAGCTTGTATCCTACCTAACACAAATATACATAATTCAATTTTATTAGGTAAAGAAAAAACCTAAAAAATATAGAGAAATATATTATTACAATTATTTGTAAATAAATAAGGGGTAATTATATTATCATCTTAAGTAGGGTTGAATATTTTTACTCTAAAGTTGAATTTGACCTCTTACTTAAAAAAGTCGACTTGAACATAACTAAACCTAATTTCCTTTTTTTTTAAAAAAAAACTAACTTTATAAGATTAAATCAAATAGAAATTTATCGAATTCAAATTAAATGTCCATTGCTAAATGCGTTCATCAAGGCAAGAAATAGTAATAGTCCAACTCCAATGCAACATGAATTAATGCCCAATCATAATGTAATTCAACATGGGCCTAAATCCAGCATTCAAGCTGCAAATGGGAGGCCATGAGAGTCCTATCCTATGAAGTCACAGCGCAACAGGCTGAGTTCTCTCTCCATGTATCTGAGTTTTATTTCATGTCCTCCTCAAACATGCTACCCTGAGGTAAGGCCCATCTGGTACATATATTGAGTCGGATCTGGTCTAGATTAAAATATATCGACGACTTAAATTGAATCATACTTTATCAAAAACTCTATCTCTAAGGTATTTGAATTCAAATACAATATTATCTTTAATTAAATATTTATCCCCTTAATTATTAGATAATATTATCCAAGGAACAATCTAGATCTAATGGTTCTGGGCAAGTCTAACATTCTGTACGATTCTCCTACAGAAATCCGCACATACATGTCTCGGTCTAAATCCATGAGCCTTGACAAAATTATCTCCATCGAACATGTAACACCTTCGTCGCTTCTCTCGGACGCCTTGGACTTGAAATTCATTGACTCGTAAGCATTCTCCAATAACTCTGTCAACTCATCATGTCCAACGAGCCAAATTCTTTGCAGATAGAACTCATCTCATGAACATTTGCGCCAATGTTTATGGAGCTAAAAGTTTAGTCCGTCACAAAGACTTATTCCCCCATCTTTTTTTCTCGATCTAAAAATACTAAACAGATGGGGAAGACTGCCTTTTTATATGTAATTTTACTTTGGGGTGAAAGTACCATAAAGGTACCTAAATTATACATGGAATTACATTTTAGTTCCCTGCTTAGAAAAAAAATGGGCAAAGTGATGTCTTTGCGCTACAAATCATTAATTCACGCGAGTAACACGAGATTTCATGCAATAATTTAACGGGAAAAAATCATATAATTGATCTTTTTATGTCAACGGGAGTGTTTTGACTTGTTACCGCAGAGGTTAAGCAATAGATCTGGTGTTGACGGACTATGGTAAGAATTTGGGGTTTTTTATCTTAAAAGTTTAATAAAGTGAAATTTTCTTAAATTTAAGCTAAATCAAGTGATAGATAAAATATGTAATATTTAAATTAAAATTAAATCCGATTCATATCCCTCTCTAATTAAAAAAAAAGTTCATTTTTTCCTTTTTCATTACTGATTAAATCTAAACTAGGGATTAGTTCAAGTAACTAGAGTTAAACCATGAGAGTCATTATTAATTTAGTAAACCTTATTTTCTATAGTTCTTATTTAGAAGATAATCATATAACAAAGTTTTGGCAACAAGAAATCTTGAAGCCATCGCAAAAAATAATACTACTAAACATTGTAATTATCGCACAAAAAAATCTAATCTTATATCAATGTGATAAAGAGAAATAAAGAACACTTTCCCATTGCAAAAGGAGGAGAGAGAAAATTCCAAGGAATGGGAGATGATTCATTGCAGAGATCCCTGGCATGGCTTCATGATGTTCTTCAAGGTAAAATAGGCCATGGATATGATACCAGAGTCCTCGAAGGACTTCGCGTCGTCCATGCCCAAAAGCGATTTATCCGATTCGATTTAATTGTTCCTAACGTTGTCTCGGTACGAAATCTCTTTGTTTACATTATGAAAATTACTTTGATTACACGGTAATCTTTGATTTTATTTTTGAAGGATGTCGATGGGAATTGGCATGTTGGAGCTTTAGCATCATTACTCGACATCCTCGGAGCTGTTACTATTTTCTCTTTTGCGAATCGTGTGATTAGCACCGTCGATTTCAACGTTTCGTATTATTCAACAGCTAAGATTCAGGTTAAGAATCTCCTTTTTATGTGTGTTTTGAAAACTTCGAAGGTGTTTGATTGATGTGTGTTAATTATATAATTGAGTAGGAACATGTGGAGATAGAATCAAAGGTTACTGCAAACAAAGGAAGGCTTATACATGTGGTGGTTGAAGCTAAAAGGAAAGCAAATGGGGAGGTGATTGCTGTAGGAAAACAATGGATGGCTTCGAATAAACTCACTGTTTCTCAAGCGAGTAATATCGGACAACATAAATCGTGTTTGACAAAAGACTTTCATTGAAATGAAATTTTTGTTAATAATAAGGTTTCGATAATAATAAAATAAATGTCGATTTCTTATCGTCTCTTGGACATTCGACAAACATGTACTTTCGAATCTGAACTTTGTTCAAATAAAATACATGTTGATTTCTCACTGTCTCTTGGACAAATCATTTTCTGCTAAAAAAGAAAATCTGCCATTGTCATAATTCCGATGTGGACTTCGTGTGATAATCGTCTTAAAATTCCGATAGTACAGTACAATAATGCACAAAAATCCACAGGACATGGCCCTCTGCAAGAGGATATAATTAAAGCATGCCCCATTTATCTACAATGAGTAGTTAGTGACATCATCATCACCATTTAAAACATTCATACCGTTTGCACCTAGATACGGCTACTGCAGTTACCAAGTTCTTGGACTACTTCTTCCATGGAAGGTCTTTCGATAGGAGAGTCGTGGGTGCAAAGCCACGCAAGTCTCGCTAGTTTAGTCGCTTTGTACGGAAAGAACCTACCGTGGAGGTTAGGGTCAATAAAGTCTTGGAACCTGCAACAGGATTCGTCTCCCAAATGCACCAGGCCGGTATTTTTTGCTTCACCGAAAGGACTTGGAAAACAACTACCCCGAATGCATAAACGTCATTCTTCTCAGTGAAACGGACGGTATTAGCGTATTTGGGAGCTAGGTAACCCATGGCCGCACTGGCCTTGTGCACTCCAAAGACGATGTCGATGGTCAGGATGTTGTGCAAGCCAGAATCTGAAAGCTTTGGATTGAACCGGTGATCTAGGAGCACATTTTTGGCTGAAATGTTTTGGTGAACGAGAGCCGGTTTGTTCACCTTGTACTCGTGCAAGTATGCTATCCCTGATCCAAAACAAAGACAATCAAACAAATCTAGCTTAGCAAATAGGAACCACATTTTAACCTTGCAATAGATTAAGGCCAAAAACTACAGACCAACCTTTGGCTATGCCTTTAACAATGGAAACCCTTGTGGACCAATCCAGGACCATGCCATCACCATCCTTAAGGTCGAGATAGAGGAGCAAATTCCCATTAGGGATGAAATCGTAAACAAGAAAGCACTGTCCCGGGGCCTTCAAAAGCCTCTCAACCTTACCAAATTCTCATGCTTCAGTGACGCCAAAACATTCAATGCCTTCGAACTCTGCATCATCCGATCTGCAACTCATTTTGCTGATCCTTTTAATCACAGCAGCGGATCCATCCCTCAAGAACCCTTTATAGGCCGCGTAAAAGTTACCCTTCTCCAATAAATTTACCTCGGAAAAGTGTATAGTAGCAGTCTCCACCTCTTCTAAATTGAACCGAAAGCTCTTAAGCACATCTTGGGTGAAGCCATTGAAATTCCTGCCATCCAAAGGATCCCAACCATTAGCATACTCAAGGCTAGCGAGCGGTGAGCCGTTCTTCCTTTAAACTCCCTTGGCTTGATCAGCACTAAGGCAGCTGATAGAATCCTCATCGGGTGACCGAGCTTCGGTTTTCTGTGATGATATTATTTAAACGTGAGGAACCCTACAGCCGTTAATGCCACCGTGACAACAATTAGGCCACCGAGAATAGGACCCTTTCGAGATTTCGATGGATTCGAGCACTGAGTTTGTTTACAAGGTAACCTTAGATTTGCTGTCTCTGGTATTTCCCTAGAAAGAACAGTTGACCCATATGCCTCGGGCCTGCTCGGATTAATTTGACCGGTGACATTACAGGGTTTTAGTGATGGAAAACCAGACCCACATAAACCGAGATTGTTTGAAACAGGAATTCATCATCCAGTCTCTTGAGAGCTAGATCAAAATCAAACAAGTAAAAAAGAAGAAAATCAAATGGCTGAAAATCACCCAAAGATGAAAAAAGAACACGAAAAACAGATGATTTACCAAGAGGAACATTTCCAGAAAGTTAATTATTACGAATGTCTAGAACTTCAACCAGAGGAGCATCAGCTAGTTTCATGGGGATTGAACCAAAGAGACTATTGAAACTCAAATCAAGCCTCATTAAAGTGTGCACCAGTAAGTTTATTAGACTGCAAAGCAAGAACATTGAGCTTCTTCAAAGATCCCAAATTTGTTGGTATGCTTCCTGTCAAGTGATTATAACACAGCTGCAACACTACAAGCAACCAAGAAAAGAAAAACATGTTATAAAACATGTAAAAGACAATGCAAAACGAAACATAAATAGCAC